ATACTTGAGGATCTCTCAATGCAGTAGCTGCAACTGCTGCATGCCACAGCCAATGCAGCACTCCCCCGTGAGTGCGTTTTTTGCACGCAATGCTTGTCCCGCTTCCGCCAGCGACCCGCCTCATCAGTTCAGTTCAGTTCAGTTCAGCCGAGCTGAGTTGAGTTCTGAGTTGTGTTTAGTTCAGCTCAGTTCAGTTCAGTTCAACGGCTGTTGCACTTTGGCTGCCCTTGCAACAGTCCTGGTCTCCGGTTTGGGGGCATGTGTGCGGCCCTCGTTGCGCCGCATTTTGTTGCGGCTTTATCAGATGTTGACATTTTTGCGGAACCACACTTGAGTTCATTTGCAATAATTGGTTTTTCTTGTTGTCTTCGCCTGTCGCCTCCGCAGCCCCTTGGGGCCAAGCCGACTAACCATCACCTCCCGTTCCCCTTTCCCCACCCCATGCAAGAAGGGGCGCAGTCATACACAATATAGATTGTGTTGTGAAATTTTTGACATACATATTTTCGAAAAGCCCTACATGCTGTAACTGTCGTCCATTATGAAGTGCAAGAGTTAATGGACACATGAGTATTACAAGTCGGGGCGCGTCAGCTATTTGGCACAATTGCCCTCTGCTCTAAGTACCCTTTCTTCTTCATCTTCCCCCCGGCCACAGGTTCTGGCTCTTAACATGTTTATTGCGCCAGCTCAGGGAATAACAAACAGTCGAGCTGTCCATCGACTCATGCGTCAATCAATCGACACAAGTTTCTTTGGCCCACATCGAAGTTAAGGGGAACACCTGTCGAAGGGGCGAGAATCCGAAATAGCATAAATTGGGGCATAAGATAAATACTCTCGCACACAAAAGCCAGTGGAGTAGTGTAGAATATGGAATGATCTCTTATAATAAATACAAAATAGAAAACTAATAGATAAGAACCTTCAGGTTACAGGCAAAGTTCAGAGTTAGTTAACCAAAGTATTTGAATTTATTCTATGCATATTTTGATATGCCTGCAAAAGCTCATGTTAAGTAGCCGGAAGCTTATGCTACACCTTTCAGTTTACAAGTTGGCCAATTGTTTAACAGTTAGTTAAGCTACATGTTTAATATGTCAAGTGCATAAGCTAAGGAGTTTGAAATAATCAACTTTAGAATTTTGGGCTTACAGCTATTTAGCTGTTTATTAAGGCTGGAATTGAAGATGGCTGTTAATTTTGACAGGAGGAGACAGGAGGAGAGAGAGGGAGAGAAAAAGAGGGAGAGAGCATTTATGTAAAATATACTTGCAACATATTTGAGATCATAAAAAGATGAATCTATGGATTCCAGTAAAAAGTTCAAGGCGGAAAACACCAGCACGCTGGAGTCTTTGTAGTTAGAGAGAAAGAGAGAGAGTGAGTGAGAGAGAGAGAGAGAGAGAGGGGGGCATTGGTGCCACTCTTTGAGATTTTGAATGATGTCTATTTTCAAAGTAAATGTGGCAAAGCGTTCGCTGGAATGTTTCGCTGCAAATGTGCCGCAAAAACAACGCAACGGCAGCAAAAAAACGACCCCCAGCGAACTGGCTGTCAGTGAGCCAAGCAGTCAGTCAGTCAGTCAATCAGTCGCTCAATATCTTTAGCTGATGTTGATGTTCAAGTGCTGCCATTCAAGTGTCCAACTGTTCATCTATTTGAATCGGGCCTGCCAAGTGTGCTGCGAACTGTTTTAACTGCCAGGATTAGCCCTAGTCAGGAAGTTGGCCATGCTGGGCCAACTGGGCCCGGCTGCAGCCGCCCCTGGCCCGGTGGCATGCGCTGGCCAAGCCCGTGCAACGTTGCGGCTGAGCGCAATTTCCGCCTTGCAACATGCAAGGCGCAACTGTCGCCGATAAATTTAACTGCAACTGCAACTGCGACTGCCGGCTGCAGCAGGCAAATGCCAAAAAGCGTTTGCACATGAGCTGCGAGTGGCCATAAAAGCGAGCGAACGGCCATAACCCAAACAGAGCACCAAAATAGTTTTTAATGATTGCCCACACCCACTTCCCGCTCACCCACAACTCCCAATCGCAACCCCAAATGTAAACACCCTCCCCCCTAAATGGCTTTTCGGTATTGCCAGACGTCTTTTAAACGGAACTGCAAATGGCAACGCGAATTTGCCTGTCAATTGGCAATTTCCTAATGAAGCAGTCACCCAAAAAGTCTGTCACCCGCAACAAATTGAAAGCAACTGGAATGGAACTGTGTGTGGAAACAAATGGAATGGAACAGTTGTTGCTTTAGATGTGAATTGTTGGGAATGAAACGGCATGGATGAATAAATGTATAAATGTATGAAAATGTCAAAAATATTTCGTCTAATCTGAACTGATCAGAATGTCGGGATCCAATTGATGCCCTGTTAAAACAATAAACAATTAGACATTTGCATAGACTATTATTTTTAAGCAATTTTCAATATATTCATAATAATTGATGAATGTCAGATTGCAGCTGTCATTTTGAATTAACATTAAAATATAACTTTTTAAGTTTATAGTTGATGCGAAACCTTCGGTAGTGCCGCAGCCTCGACGGATTCTGGTTGAATGGCCCAAAATTGAAAAAAAGCCACATAAATATGTGCACATCTATTAAAATATATGTGCATATATATGTATGTGTGTGTACTTTGGCTGAAACTGAGCATACACATGATTTCCGCTCGGCATATCCAATGAATTATGTCAAAAAGCACAACAGCAAAAAAAAGGAGAAGAAAAATAAATAAATAATAAAAACAAAATAAAAGAAAATCAAGACGAAAACGTGTAGCTGCTGGTGGAAATCAAAATGAAAAGACACATAAAAATAGCAAAAAAAAAAATAAAATAAAAATAAATAAAAATAAAGAACGAAAGAAAAACAAGAACCAAATAGAAAACGCGTTCCAAAAGCCAAAAGCGAGAAGAATCGTAAATATAGAAATGTAAAATGTAAAATGACTTCAAAGCGAATGCGCCAAGTGGCCAAAAAGGAAGCGGCCAAAATGTCAGCAGAGCTGCTAAAAAAATGGCAAAAACAATAAAAAAAAAACAGCCGCAATCCCCAAACCCCTCCACCTCCCCCTACTCAAGCCCAGCTGACGAGCAAACAAATTCAATGAATAGAAATGAAATACACAGCGAGAATTAGGAACAAAAAGCGATATACTTATATATATAATATATGCTAGCTATGTGCATATATCTGTGCACGAGTATCTACACGCATCTAGGCAAATGTATCTTGCAGATACATTTGTTGTTGTGCTTGGCAAATGAAGCGAAACGTACAAATTTTAACGTTACGTTTTTTAGCTTCTCCGCCCTTGTCTTTGGCTTGTTTTTTTTTTCATTGTTTTTGTTTTTGGTTGATTTTCCTTTATTTTGTTGTTGTTGTTTTTTTCTTTTTTTTGCCTAATTATTGTTTTTGTTTTTCATACTCGGGCGGGCATTAAGAAAAACTTTATGCGCCATTGAAGCGTTCGAAAATAAAAGTCGCGTCCGCAGCGGCCCTCGTTTACGTCAAAGTTCTATATGCCTAAAAGCATGTGTGTGTGTGTGTCTGTGTGTGTGTGCGTGTGTGCGTGTGTGCGTGTGTGTTTTGGCTAAGGTGTGCGTTCGCTTTGGCCCCACATGGAGGGCACGCCGCAATAGTAGCAGATCGCGCATACGCCGTGTGCCACAAAAGCGTTGCCACATCGTTAAAGCAAAGCAAACGAATGCAAGCCTGATTAGCAAAGGGTTGCCACACTGTTCCTTATCATGTACAGTTGCATATTGTATATTTGTAAATGCAAATCGTAATCCTTGGTTTATTTCAATTCCAACTCTTTTTAACATTGCCTCAAATGCAATCTCAACTAGTTTTTATTCAGCGTAGAATCGAATCGCATAAAGTTACATGTTTTAGATTCTAAGCATTTGTTTGTGCAATAACCGAGTTACTTTTGTGTATTCGCAAGCTCGAACCCTAAAGTTCATGAAGCTCAACTACGGAATTTCATATTTTAGATATTCAGGCCAAGAGGATACTTTCACAAGGATGAGTTCAGTTTTCCGCACACTTGAGTGGATAACAAATTCTAAATCTGGTCTCAAGGTGGATTCGATTTGTATAATTATTATTAAACTATCTGCGAGCTAGTTGCTGAATATCAATATTATTAATACCCTAGATTGATTTGGCGTCCAATCACCATCTTTTTAACCTACTCATGGGCTCTATATACATAAGACCTACTTGGGACAAAGAGAGAACCGCGCCATCTGCATTGGCTTGCGAAAAACAGAAAACACATGAAAATTTCATAAAGATTAATTAGTTTATTATTTTGAATGTTTTTGTTGTTATTTTCTTCTTCCTCTGCTGCTGCTGCGGCTGATTGTATTTTATTTCATTGGAATTTTAATTGACACACTGGCAACGCCGAAGGTCATTGGCTTATTGAACATGAACGTGGGCAATATGCTAAGAACTTTAATGACTCACCCAATGGCAATTATTGGCCAGGTGGGCGTGTCTGCGCCTTGGAGGGGTTTGAAAGGCTGATGTTCGCCTGCCGGAAAGGCGAAAATTCCATGGCGAAATGTGTGTTGGCTCGCTTTGATCTTCGGGCGCTACTTTTTGGTGTTCTTTTCTGGTATCGTTTATATATGTATTTGTATTTTATTTTTTTCGGTTGATGAATAAATTAAGAAATGCATGAGGCGAAGAGCCCCCAAGACCCGAACAGCCACCGCCACCGCCACCGCCTCCGCCCAAGTTGACTGCAGCCATCATCTGGTCGGTCGTCTTGCTCTGCCTTTGACAGCCGTTGGCAAAAAATTATGATCTGTTGGAGTGTTGGGGGCGGGTGAGGGGTATTTGGGCTGGTGTAGGCGCGGTCAATGAACGTCTTTGTCTGGCGAACACCTTTGATGTTGATTTTACGCCATGCTACTCATCACTGATTACATTTGCTACCATTTCTCCCTCTTTTTTTTTTTCTCGCACATCTCTTGCAGTTGACCGCGCGATGAGCCCCGCGCAATCCGAAGACTCCGGCCTGGCACCGGAACGGGGCACCACCTATGCAACGATCACGCTGCCGCGCAATGCCCTCCATTTGGCCATCAATTTTGCAGGTAAGCCAAGCAGCAAAGGGACGACGGGGTGGGAGTTTGGGAATTGGGCCTCGTAACCGGACATCGTGTGGCACATTCAAGTGCCGGACAAAAGGCAGCCCACAGTCAAAAATGAAAAAAGAGAGAAAACCCACTTATGCATTAACTCAACATTATGATGGCGCCGCGCAGCGTTAGAATTTCCAGCCTGAAAACTCTTTAAAGCATCAGCTCGAGATTGAAAACAGCAGCCCGCATATTTGGCGCACAATTTGATTGTTCAATATTTAGTTTTTCGTAATTTTTGACAGCTGTCAGTTGGACTTCGAATTGATTGAAAGATTTTTCAATTATTTGATAATTATGTTAGATCAATTTGCAGGCCCAAATCTAAGGGTTGAATAAAATTCATACAATTATGACATTTATAAATATAGCCAAGCATAGATTAAGTGGAAGTGAAAGTGTCAAGTTTATAACGTTTTATTTATTCTGTGATTTAATAACATATGTAAATAATATACATTTTAACAGCAGACTCATTAAAATGTTACGTTATTAACACGCTGTTATTAACAGTAGAGGCATATGTAAATGTAAGCTCTGTAAATTATCTATAGAAGAAAGGGCATATTGAGAGGCATATTCTCGCACCGAGTAGCTAGGGTAGAATAGTAAATAATTTTACACTAGTACAATTTAAATATTATATGGCGTACCCTTGCAGACGACTATATAATACATTAACTATTATGAGAAATATAGATTGAAGCATCGTTCAAGTGGTGTCAGCCTTGACAATAAACAGACGCTTCTGAATTCAAACACAATTCAAATTCAAGCAGTTTGCACTTTAAAGCTATGGCAGCATATTGACTTAACACTGACATTAACATTAACAGCGTCACTCTAACATACAAATGTTAGCAGGCAAATATGCAATCGCTTCTCGACACTGTTTATATTTGTTTGGCCACAGTTTTACTCGTTTGCTTGGACTTATGTATTTAATTGATACATATAGGAGCTGAAAGATGTTGAGTATATCTAGCTGTATATAATGCATGGGTAAATAGGGTATAATGTTTGTGGGCATATATATGTAACAGGCAGAAGAACCCACAAAATCTGAATATCATATATCAGTCGTATCAAATCATGTTTGATTTGATATCATATATGTTCCGCTCTTTATATCTCCTTCCATTTTCATTATAAATAATAAATCTCGACAATTTAAGATATGTAATAAACAGTTAGATATACCGAGCTCAGGGTATAGGTTCTTATATGTTATATATACACTTTGTTATATGCCAAACTTAAGCCCTGAAAATGTCATATAGATCGGACTCCAAACACCGAAGTTAAACACACATGAGAACAAAGTGAAAAAAAGCACTGCCGCAGCATAAAGTGCGATGATTGGAACTTGATTAGGGCCCAGAGTAGCTGCTAGTCGCACAGCCCCGACTGAGCACTCTTCCTAGTAATCAGATTTTTTATTCATAGTTCTTTTGACTGTTTATGAACTATTGAGTCACAAGCAATTTATTTACTTGCTACAAAATGGGCTGGCCCAGCTTCAATTTGCGGTTCTTGTTTCGGTTTTCATATTATTATTTTTTGGTGGGTGGAGGGGCGTTTGTGGGTGAAGGGGTCGGTCGGTCTTGATCTCCAGCCAAAAGTGGGCCGATGCGATTTGAATGCGGAACGCGTTTGCGTCGATAACGCGGAGCAGTGCTTGTCGTCGCCGTCGCCGTCGAGATGCGCTGCCAAAATAAATCATCATTTCAATCTGCCGCCGCCCTTCAAGCCGCCGCTCTCCCACATCCCCCCTCGCCCAGCCGCCCGCAGGCGTGGCGCGTCTGTCGACTGCCAGACATTATAATATATATTTCGTCTGCAGTCGTGGCTGTTGTCTGTAGTCTAGAATTTGTTCATATCGTTTCCCTGACTAATCTCGACATATTGCAAGAGCGCCAACTGATTTGGCATGGCTGGGCCGACAACTTGCCGCATGTGGCATGCCGCAGACAGAGAGAGCGAGAGTGAGAGTGTGAGAGACTAGGCTTAACCCTAGCATATTCCAGCTGGCCCAGAGTTAGCCCAAAGTCTGGACAGCGTCGCCTGACGTAAGCGTCTTCAGTGTCTGCGACGATGACGTCTTGTCGTCGCCCTCAATTATGTTGGCCATAATGCAGAGGGGGCGGGGCAGGTTTGTCTACTATTTATTTTTTTATTTTTTGGGCTGGCAACTTGCCAGCGGCCGCACAACCATTCGCAGTGGCTGCCCTCTGCGCGTTGTTTGTCATAACAACAAGTCGGCCAGCCGCTTTTTAAGCATACATTTATTTACGAGTAGTGCTCATGCTCTTACAGAGAGGGTAGCTCAGCTTTGTCATGAAGTGTGTAACACACAGGGCATATATGCTCCTGATTCGCAGGCTCACATCACAAAAGCTTTGCAAGAATAGGCCGAATCGGACAACTATATAGCATAGTTGTCGGGTATGTTTTTTAGTTCTATCTGTCGAATAATAAGAACTTGTCTCTTCTTGCTGATACAAGGGTATTTAAGAGTCGGTCTGCCTTGTTGGGCTTTCGTTTTTATTTATTTCCCAATTTTTGTATTTGGCCAAGAGGCGCGCCTGTGTCGCCCGACGAGCCGCTGACAGAATTGGTAATGGAGACCAAGGCAGCAGACGGCAAGTGCTTCGAACCGAACTGGCCAAAGCTGAAAATGATCATAAACTAGAAATTTCAAAGCTTTATTAACTCTAGACGGAACTAAGCCCATGCGTTGCACAAATACATACATATGTGCAGAAATATCTGAAGACTGTGCAAGAAACTACGAAAAAGATTTCAGGAGCATTTTATATAGAAATCTTTTAAGAAATTATTTGCAAATTTGTTGGGGGGTTGAACTGTTTTTGAAGCGAACCAGTTCCAATCTGAACCACATTTGAGACGAAGCTGGAAACAAACCCAACTTGAACCAGAATTAAACCTTAGTTATAAAGAAGATATACTTTTTATGTATGTAACTAATATTGCAATATTTGGCAGGCTTTCAGCAAACTCTCACAAAATGTTCAGTGCCAAGAATATGCAGAATGAACCAGTTCGGTATATGAAAATGTTTTAAAAAGGTTCTGAAGGCTTTTAAGACGAATTGGAAAACCAACATTTTTTTGGAATTTCGATAAGGTTAAGAACCAACAGCTAGTTTCATGTATGTGAAAAAAACCAGTTCACAAACCGAACCGACACTGGTTCGAAACATAAATCGAACCAGCAAAATGCTTTTCTTTGGCTTACAAATAATATGCAAGAGGCTTACTTTTTTTTAGAAAAGGAAAAGCTTTGATTTTTTTTTGTCAATATATTTAGTCAGATGAACTAGCAAAAGAATAATTAGTTGCTCATATAAGACTCGCAGGTGAACTAGTTAAAGAATAGTTAGTAGCTCATGACGTGTAAATGAACAAGTAAAAGAAGAATTAGTAGCTCATGTTAGATTTGTAGGTGAACTAGTTAAAGAACAGTTAGTAGCACACGTTTGATTCGATTGATGGCAATTGTTTGTGTGAGAAGTTTTCTAGCAGCAGCTGTCAGAGAACTGCTGGCGGCGACTGTGACAGTGCTCGAAGGCGGCCCGCGATTAGATAAATGAGCTATCATTTGATTTACACCGGGAATTTTGTTTATTTGAACAGCCTAATTGGCGAAGATTAAACGTGTATTGATTTACGATTTTACAACACCCGCAGAGCGCAATGATTTGTCCTATCCACCTGTTATTGGGGCCCTCAATCCTGTGGGTCATGCGGCCGACTTTCTGGCGCCGGGCGATCGCCTGCACCAAATCGATGGCATCTCGACAATCGGCCTAAGCAATCAGAAGATCATGAATATGCTGTGCGCCACCGGAGCGGACACGGCACCGGCCATAGTGGAGATCGAGTACTCTCTGCCCGAATGCAGTAAGTGCGAACGGCGTTGATCGGAACTCATCTGCTCACGTTTTTCACTTGTGTCTTGGTTGTTGTTGCAGCAGTTTCCCAAAATAGTCTGTATGTTACCTCGAAACTGGCACAGATCACCGTGGAGCGAGAGAGCGGCTGCCTGGGCTTAACGTTGCGGGGCGGCGCCGACTATCCGCTGATCGTGACGCACGTGAGACTGCACGGCCCCGTCTACAAGACCGGCCGGATCAAGCCCGGCGATCGTCTGCTGCGCGTCGATAATGTGAGTATTCCAAGCAACACGTGATGGCTAACACCTGCCAGGCTGACAGGCGCTTCCGTTTGTGCCATATCCGTAAACGCTTCTCTCTCTCTCTCTCTCTCTCTCTCTACCTATTTAGATATCGCTCATTGGCAAGACGCTGGCCGAGGCGCAGCAGATCATTAAATGCGGCCACGTTTCCGGCTACACCAATCTCACCATTGAGTACGACGTCTCGGTAGTGCAGAGCGTCGAGTTCTCAATGGGGCCGCTGCTCATCGAGATCGAGCGACCGCTGAATGATAAATTGGGCCTGGTGCTGTGCAACTATACGAGCTCCGCCGCCAGCTCCGCAGGCGCCGCCACCAGCACTGACAAAATAGACGAGGTTGCCCAATCGGGCATCTATATTGCCAGCATACTACCCGCCAGTATTGCCGATCGGTGAGTGTTATGAACAAAAGTTCGATAGTTGCCTTTTCTCTTTAGCCATTTGCCAAAAGCATCAGCAGCTGTTCCAAATTCCACGCGTTTCCAAAATAGAAAGGGTTTACCGATATTTCTAAGAGAATCTATTAAAATAAATTATGTGTAAAGAGTAAAAAGATCCCAAATATTTGCAAATAAATGTAAGGTTTAAATGTTTAGTCTAATCTTATAAAAAGGCTGAGTCTATTCGTAAAATTCCATGCAATAACATTGTCTATTAAGAAATTCTCCAGGCTTATAATGCGACAAAATTTCTTTTAGTTTTCTCTTTCGTTCAAATGCGGAATCAAAGTTTCTCTATTCGCAAATTTTCAAAGATTTTCCAAAACTATTTTAAGAACAAGCTTAACTAGATCAAAGAGAATTGAAGCGCAACCAACTTAATGCACACATTTCACACGAACCAGAGCTGCCATATTGTTGCCTTAAACTAGTGTGGCAACACTTAAGCTCATCGACAGCCTGTTAGCTGGCGTGGGAAATCTTGAAATTAGAATGACAAACACATGAGCTGCAATAAATTCTGTTATGCTGCCATATTGAAAATTGAAAAACTGAACTAATGAAATTTGGTCTGTTTCGTGTTGCAGCTGCGGCGCCTTATCAGTCGGCGATCAGGTGCTCTCCATTGATGACACAATGATCGAGCACACGGCCTACAGTCCCGACGAGGTCATGACCATATTGGACACCAGCACTGGACGCGGCTACACTCAGATGCAGATCATGCCGGCACATGCGCTCGCGCGACGCGGTAAGTTCCAGCGCCAACTCCAACTCCTTTCCCAGCTAGTCTCCCTCCCCTCTCCCTCTCCCGTCACTGTCTCTTTTTGGCTATCGAACTGATCCAATCGGCGGCTGCTTGTGCAACGCCAAAAGCCTGCCAAGGCGCCCAACCAAAAATGGTGCCTTGAAGGTCTCGTTGCGTGGGCGTTTGGCTAATGAACAGTCGACGATCAACAAATAAAACAATGCGCTGTCGAGGGTTGCTCCAAGAGTTGCTCAAAACAAACCACATTTTGCCCTTAACATATGAACTTTTGGTCTTTGCTTTTGTTCGTAATTTAGTTGCTATTCGTATTTGAAATTCGAAAATTAAGCTCTCTTTATGTCTTTTGGAATTGTTTTTGTAATCTTAACTTTTCTTAGCTCAATCATGAAAACATTTTCTGCAATTTAAATTTGAGATTATTTATCGAATCGCTCTCCTAGCTGATTAATTTATTTTGTGCGTCTTTTAAAATCTCCTAAAATATAGTAAGCATTTCTTAAAGTTTTCCAGCTTTTATAACTTTCTTAAAACACTTCTCGATTCTCAAGATATTTCTCGGGGTTCTTTGAGCAGCCCTCGCTGAATGTCAATCAATTTGTAGCTGAGTGCGATGCAAAGACGAATAATTCGTTTTCGGGGACGACAATGGGCTGACTACTTAGGGCCGTAAATTCTTGGGTAGCCGGGGCACACACACACACCCACCCACTCACACACACACACACACACACACACACACACATATGCTGGCTAAGCTGTGGATTAGTTGCGATCAAAGTTGGCTGAACTATTTCTCACACATGGCCATCAGAGCAGAAGGCATCCCATCCCAGCCATTTCCCTTAAAAGCTTTTGGCCAAGTTTGGGCAGGCAAGTCTTCAGCCGGGCAGGCCGTAAATAGTGGAGAGGCGACAGCTGGGCATAGTGGGGCGGCGGGCATCTATAAATACAGCTAAACAGCATTTACTTTAATCTTCTTCTCGCCCCTCTGCAACGCAGGTCACACGACGCTGGGCAGCCCCAAGTATAGCTTCAGCACGCTGGAATCACGCAAGTCCACGGGCAGGCAGCGCCAGCGTTTCGTGCGCAAGAGCTCCCTGCCGCTGGAGGGGAACGGAGGTGGTGCCGGGCACACAAGCAGCTTGGGCCTGTGCCGGGCGGAGAGTTTTCCGGTGCTGCTGGACTGCAGCCAGGGCGCTGGCATTGTGCTGGGCGCAGCGAGCAGCTGCGGACGAGCCGTCAGCATTGCCCAGATCCTGCCCGACTCGGTGGCCGATCGCAGCGGCTGCATCCAGCCGGGCGATCGCATTGTGGCCATCAATAAGATGTACAACCTGGACGCGGCTGCGATGCGCCAGCTGCTGGACGGACGCGCCGGCAGCGGTGCGCCCGCTGCGGCAAACTGGCTAGAGCTGGAGGTGGAGTTCGACATGTCCGATGCGGTGGTGCCCTCCAGCGGTGTCTTCAACGTGAAGCTGCTCCGCGCGGCCAAGTGCGGCCTGGGCCTTAGTGTGAGCGGCTCCAGTCATGCGGGTCTGGTCATATCCGATGTCAAAATGGGCAGTCCCGCCCATCGCTGTGGCTCGCTGCGACCGGGCGACATACTGCTCGCCGTGGATCAGCATCCCGTGCAGCATTTCAATGTGGATGCCTTGCTGAAGGAGCTGCCCACGCCGACGCCGACGCCGACGAGCAGCGCGGACTACACCACGCTGACCATCAAGCGGGTGGTGCTGCCCGACTTTCTGCCCAGCCCCATCTACAGCAATTGCACCACCAGCACCAGCGGCGCCGTGGTCGCCGGCGAGAATGAGCTCTACAGCAGCGCCTATGTGGCCGGCAAGTATGGCGAGGGCAAGTACAACGATTGCGTTTCGCTCAAGTCGAGCACGCCGCAGCCGGATTACTTCCGCGGCGCCAGCCTGGACGAGACGGGCAGCCTGCAGTCCGTGCAGCTGCGGCATGCGGCGCCAAATGGAGGCTGGCCGACGGGCAATGGCTGCTCGAACAGTCGCTCCTTTGCCGGTGCGCCGAACACACAGAGTCTGACCACGGAGCTGCCCGTTGAGGAGGAGGACGAACAGGATGAGGATGATCAGCAACAGCCGCAACAGCATCACGCCCCATACGCCGGATACGAGTTGAATCGCTATGCCAGGTGAGTGGCCCGCATTGCCAGCGCGGAGCAAGAGCAGCAAGCTAATCTCTCTCAATGCTCTATGATAGCGTGGACTGCACGGCCTTGCCGCCGCCCATGGAGAGCAAGGTGTACGGCTCGGCGGCCAGTTCGAGCAGCAAGAGCAGCGGCAGCAGCCTGCATCAGATCATCTTTACGGTGCGCCTGGAGCCCAAGGGCGGACTCCTGGGCATAACGCTGGCGGGCAGTGAGGACATCACCAAGCCCATAACCATAAGCGGCCTGGTGGAGGGTAAGTGAGCAATCGCCAATTCGTGGCACTAACTAAAGATGGATGCACGTGCTCCACGCTCACGTTCTGCTTGCAGGCGGCATTGCGCACAAGAACGGCCAGATCCATGTCGGCGACCAGCTGCTGGCCATCGATGAGCACTCCGTGCAGGGCATGCCGCTCTCGCATGCCACCAGCCAGCTGCACAATCTGGGCGACCTGGTCGACCTGAAGATACTGCGTAGCCATGACATCAACAACAGCGCCAGCGGCAACTGCAGCCTGCCGGCCAACCAGGCGATCTATGCCAAGGTACAGCGTCGCCCGCGCAGTCCCTCGGCCAACACCGAGGCAAGCAACAGCAATGCCAAGGATCAGCAGCAGCAGCAGCAGCAGCGCGTGTTCCATGTCACACTTTACAAGGATAAAGTCTATGATGACTATGGCTTCTCCGTCTCGGACGGGCTCTACGAGCGCGGCGTCTTCATCAATCGCATACGGAGCGGCGGACCCGCGGACATGTGCGGCCAGCTGAAACCCTTCGATCGCATCATGCAGGCAAGTGTGGATCGCCAGCTAGATCCTTGGCCAACTCAATTAAATCCCCTACGTTCACAGGTCAACGAGATGAAGACCCAGGACTTTGACTGTTGCCTCACCGTGCCGCTGATCGCCGCCGCCGGCGACAAGATCGAGATGATCATGCAGCGCTCCGAGTGAGCGACGATCCATGTTTCGCTCGAGAGGCCCAAAGTTTCTGTCTATCTTTTCTTTTCTTTACTATTTTTTTTTTTTAATCTTTAACTAGTTGTATCTTAAGTATCTTAAAGCTAAGTGCCATTTTTTTTTTGTATCTAACCGCCGAGTTCCCTTTCCGGATGCAAAACTGATCTGATCATCGACCCAAACCCACCCACCCACTTTCTGATATGCCTTGACTAATTTTAGCGACAATAAGTGCCAAGTGCCTGCAAGTTTTTTTTTTTATAATAATATATATATATATATATACACATAATTATATATATATACATCTATATATATAGCGAGAGATTAATATACCAACGATTGTCTAACGTAACCAAATAAAAAAAAAAGGGAGAACATTTCATCATTAAATAGCTCCATACGAAAATAATCCATAGTTCCATATTTATTGAAACTTGTATATGTATGTATATGTGTGATTATATGGACAAAAATAAGTTTCAAAAAGTCAACCTAAATGAACCTCAAGATGTTTTAAGCCCCGAACCCATTAATGGGTAAAATGGGTATACTAATTTTTGCCCCTTGCTTACTTAGTCGATTTGGGTATAATTTAAAATTTTGAGAAAAAACGTGATATAACACTTGCTTTATTGTCGATTTGGGTGAAAATGTAGATTTTGAGAAAAAAGTGATGTAACAAATCCAAATATTAGATATATATATATTATCGTATATCGACGTGTTTTCGATAACCTTAAGCATATATGCATAGATGATATATATTTAATTTCTATCAAAATTGAGCAGGAAACTGATTTTTGTAGGTGGACCCTTGTGTTTTGGTATCAAAATATCTGTTAGTTTAGCCAGTTTGTACATTTCCAAATACCCCTTAAGGCTGTACGATATGAAGCTCAGTTTTTTGTTTTGTTCAAAATAATTCAAACTGCTTTCAATCCTTTGCTCAATTTCTGCAAATCGTTTTTTTTGTGTAGAAATTAGCGAAAGAGTTGCCAGACTGTTCAGAAAGTCTCAATTGCAAGCTGAATTTTATCCAGTGTTTAACAGCATGTTAAAGTAGCTGTTAACTTTGAGAAAAACAATTAACGCAAAGATTTAATCGTGGGCAAAAATAGAATTTGATTTACCTTTCAAATGGTTATTATTGAAATATCATGTATATTGTGCGGACAGGTGCCCAAAAATCCTTATATTATAAGCTTAACCTTTTACTGTTTACAGGTTGATCGGAGCAATCGCTAGACTATTTTTCGACCTACAGCACTTTGGAGGCACGTTTCTGTCGATCAAGTGGAATTTATTACTTATCTCATTTGTTACTAGGTTGGCATATCGCCCCCAGGTTCCTCTGGGGCTGCTCCGGTTACGTTGTTCAATAATGCACTTTGAGATCGTAAACAAAATTGTGCGCAAATGTCATACGCAGAAAAATGTCCGGACGTCAACGCCCTTCTGTCCCTCTACGGCAACGATTATCGATGAGTTTCTGGAAAAAACAAATTTTCTGAAATGCAATAAAAACAAACGCATTATATTTACAGAAGTAAACATTCACATATCAGCACGCCGATCCATAAGTAATACATAAAGCGGAAACGAATTCAATACCCTGTAATCAATATAAGCAAATGGAATGCACCAGAAGGTGGAACAGGAATCGAGGCACTAATGTTCTTATATGATATATATGGCCAGATAAATTCCCGACAAGCATCAAAATAATGGCTGTCCAATCGAACTCGGCTAGCTTTATGCGTGAGCTCACTCTACAATTGTAGGGTATAGAAATTATTGACTAAGGGATACTTTTACGAAAGGATCGAATTGCTAAAAAGGCAAAAAATTAGATTATATCAGAGGTATTCATTTTGTCAAAATGCCAATGGATTCTGGGATTCTAGGCTTAACAGGGTATCTTAGTGATCGTACATATGTTTTTTCTGAATGCAAGTGTCTATGAAAGATTGTGCCTGATAGATCTTAGTAGAAACTAACTCTCACATATATGAAATCTATTTTTAAGGCAAAGCTAACCACTGTGCAGCGCCCCGCTGCCCACTGCCCGCTGCCCCTTGTGCGGGCACAGCTGTGTGCATATCCCCAGCGTTGGGTGAGAGAGACAGACATAGAGAGAGAGAGAGAGAGAGAGAGAGGGAGACGGGCATGTAAAAACAAAAAGAACAACAAGAATGATGTGCAAAGCAAACGATGATAAGCCAACTGAGCTGGTTTATTCTGGGCGCTCTGCTCCAGCAGCAGTGGAGCCAATTGACGTCAATGGCGCATCGAGATCCTGGTGGAAAAGTCAAGCGGCCAGCTAGCCGGTAAACACCTTTGCCAATGGACTTTGGACAATTGTTTGTTTGTTTTTGCCGAATCGAATCCGTAACGGAACCAGATCGCTGATAACGGGCAGCCACCCGCTTCGCAGGCATTGACAGCAACTGCAATGTGCTCCCCCTCCCGACATAAACACACACACACACACACACACACACACACACACACACACACACGCACGCGCTCAAATGGGAGGCTTGCCAGCAGAGCGCTTGACACAGTTTCTATTTGTGTTTGGCCGATTGGCAAGCGATAAGCGCGATCCACTGTACAGTCATCTCTCTGGGCAAGGTCTTATCTGTAAACAAATTCCAAATAGTCTTTGTCGCTGTCATTTTTGGGCGCTGCTTCCTCACGCGATATTGTCTGTTACAGCGCTGAGTTGGCGAAGGAGCTTTAAGCTTTGCTTCATGGACAGCGCAAAGCTTACGGCTTGGCGGAGCAGCGACTTTGATCTTCGACGGCTGCTGCGTCGCATCGTGCTTATCGTGTTGTTAAAGTGCATCTAACAGCGACGTCGCAGTCGCAGTCGCAGTCGCTGCCACGACTCGTTTTGTACTTTGCATCTGAGCGTGCGCTTAGCGGGGGGTTGTTGAGCGCGAGAAGGCGAACGGGGCGGGTTGAGCTTATCTCAGTGCCGTTATACCCCGCTCAGCAGCAGCAGCAGCAGCAGCGACGTCCGAGGCCGAAGCTCAAGTCGTTGGGCATACAAATTGCGTGGCGTGCAGCTGATCGGCTCAGTGCTGTGTCGGTCGTCGAACGCAACAGACAATATTGGCGAGTAGCCAGCAATAAATAACGAGTAACGAGTAACCTGTAACGTGTAACGAGTCTCGATTAGCGCAAGAACGTTTTGATCCCCGGCGCTGGTTAATAAAAGAAACGTGCCAAAAACTTGAGCATACGTACTTAATAAATGGTCATATATTTGGACACTAAGTGAACGTCGTCGAGTGGACAGCTAGACAGAGAGACAGAGGGAGAGAGAGCGAGAGAGAGGGACAGGTGCGCGATTTGGCGCCGATAAGATTAATTTAATTAAAAGCAACAACAACAACAACAACAACAACAACGACGACAGCAATTGTCTTAGCTTCTTCAGTTAAGCTATCTATTGAAAAGAAGAAAGAAGAAAAAAAAAAAGAATTAAATATCTGACGTGCTGTGTACCTTCAAGTGATTTAGTCTAGTTCCTGCCGAAAATGTAGACAGTCTGCCACAGGGCAGCAACAGGTGAACTACAACAACAACAGCAACAACAACAACGAGATTAACAAGAACAGCGATCCAAAACACAACACAAGAAGAGTTGAACCAGCAAGATGTATGTGGCCAACACAACCGGCGGCCTCATGCTGCAGACCATGCTCTACTTGGCCAACCACACGAGCCGCGCGGCAGTCAACACGCTGATCGATCTGCCACCGGCGCCCAAAAGCGGTAAGTGATCCGACCAGGTCAGCGAGACAGGTATCTCATGTTAGTTTGGCCAATGAGTCCAACTGAGTTGCCCAATTCTTTACAACGAAATAAAGACACAAAAGAACGCCACAACGAACATTAAATACACTTCTTGTTAAAGATAATTTCGAAAAAAAAAAAGAAATCAATTTTTGCTATATCATGTAATCGTCCGATATTAATAAGTCTTAACAGGGTGAAGACTCGGTTTCTCTTTGAATTGAATATTCAATAGTGCTTACCAGCCGGAAGGTATATATGCTTACATATATACCCTCTACCGACCCCGAACTCATTAAATGCAGCCATTTGGCATTAGGCAACGAAATATTTGAATTTCTTTGTATTTAAGTTGGAATTTTCGCAAGAAATGTGTTCTATAATTGCCAAAATTTAATATGATTTTTCTATGCATCTAAATCTTTGATAATCCCTTCTATATACTCTATACTCAAACGATCTGTACACAAGTTTAGCCTATATATTTACTTAATGAGTGTCTAGTCCATTTAGAAGCTTGACTTGGAATTTAATTAACAAGTTAACAACAGTGTTAAATGCTTTACTAATTGCTAAATCAATTTGTTAATTAAGTGGTTACCAAAGGTCAACTTTAAGTTGCATTCTTTCTCATCGAATAGGCTTCGATGTCTGCTCCAATTCGAACTTTCATATAATCAAGCGGCAGAGAAATCATAATATTGAAAAACAATCTTTGGAGAGTTTACTTTCTGAGTGCATTAACAGGGTATTTGCAGGGCGACTACTGCCGCTCCAGAGTAGACCGTGACAATATCTGTTTTAGGGAATTCTTTTAGGAATTGCCAACTGCTTTTGCTGTTGACGTATTCCCTCTCCAGCTATTTCAACGCTTAGTTGGACTGAAAGTTGTTCGGCTTGGGCCAAAGGCAAACGAGATCCGACAAGACTTTGGACCAAGATCCATGTCTGCGTCGCTTGGGTAAACAGAAATTCTGGTTTCGAGCGGAAGATTGGGCTCGCTGTCAAAGGGAAAGCGTTTAGAATGCATTCGACATGCTGTCCAAAGATTCGGATAGTTGCTTCAATTAAATATGAGACGCAGCAGACAAAAAAATAAAAGCAGACAAATTGCAGTTACGACTACGCCTATCTAATAATATATACGAGAAAATAACTTCCGATATCCAAAAACCAAAAAAAAAAAAAAAAAAACACAACAAGCCAATTGCGATAAGACAACAACTTCAACAATGACAATGACGACAGACATTCGGGCATTCCATCAGCTGGCCATTTGGTCATTTGGCCATTTGGTCATCGATCGGGCGGATTTCGAGTGCCACGCATCGCTGGGCAGCCGGCGAAGGCTGTCGACCGCGGAAGAAGGAATCCAATAAGAAACAAGTTGCGCTTGAGCAAACAGTCAATGAGATATCCAAATGCCAAAGCTAACAGAACAAAAGTTAATCAGTTGCTGTAACAGTATCTTAACAGAGCCAGACAACTGTTAACAGTGGGTCCTAAATGTGAAGGAACTGTAACTGTTAGCTTAACAGATAAATGTTAGCAGTGGTAAGCTTGAAATGTAAATGCTGCTTAAAGACATTTTTAAATGTTAACAGCACAAACTGTTAATCAGCTGCTGTTACAGTGCCTTAATTTAGAGAACATGTTAAAGAGAGCTGTTAAGCCATCACCTTAACATAGCATAGAACGCAATGTTAAGGCATATTGATAAAATTTGAACGTTTTATCGAGATCCATTTTAATACCCTGCCTGAACATAAATGTCCATTAGAATAATTGCGATTCTATAACAGCACCCTAACATAGCACTTAACTGTTAGTTAGAGCACACTGTTAAGAGATTTTGACACAGTTAGAGAACTCTTTGAGCTATATTTTAATGCAGATCGTGATTGCATCTTGAATCTTGAGTCTTTAACAGCGGTTTAAAAAACAAAGCAAATATAAAAACCATTCTAATTGCAACTTAACTCGATTGTAAATTTCCAATTAATTTAATGCAAATGCCTAAGCGAGCATCAACAGCACCTAAACTATCAGTAACAGCGCAATGTTAATTTCTGTTAGAAGGTGAATTTCTGTTAGAAGAAATGTCTAAGCGAGTCGTTAACAGCGCCTTAACATAGAAAGCATATGTTAATAACATTTTTCAAAGTTTTCATGACATTTTCTCTCGTTTGACTTACAGACATCAACGAGGTGAAATGCTTTGGCGTCTACGGCTGCTTTCCCATCAACGGACCCTGGAATACGGTCACGCGAACGATAAATGTGCATCCGCAGAAGCCCTCCGAGATTGAGCCGCACTTCACGCTGCACACGCGCCGCGCCATGGATCAGGCCAAGTACATAGATCTCAATGATCCGGACAGCGTTCAGGGACTGGGCATCAATGAGCTGGGAAAGATATATCTGCTGGTCCATGGCTATCTGGAGTTCGGTGAAATACCCTGGATGCTGGAGATGGGCCGGGCGCTGCTCAACCATTGTCCGGAGGGCGAGTGCGCCGTGATCCTGATCGATTGGGGCGGCGGTGCGAGTCCGCCGTACGTCCAGGCGGTGGCCAATATACGGCTGGTGGGTGCGATAACCGCGCACGTGATCCACATGCTGTACGAGGAGCTGCGTCTGCCCAATCTGGACAATGTGCACATCATTGGGCACTCGCTGGGCGCCCATCTATCCGGCTATGCCGGCCACCATTTGCAGCACGACTTTGGCCTCAAGCTGGGCCGCATCTCTGGCCTGGATCCGGCGGCGCCGCTCTTCACGGACACCGATCCCATTGTCCGTCTGGACCGCACCGATGCCAACTTTGTGGACATTCTGCACACGGATGCGAATCCGCTGATGAAGGGCGGCCTCGGGCTCATTCAGCGTGTGGGCCACGTCGACTTCTATCCGAACGGCGGATTCGATAATCCCGGCTGTGACAAGAAGCTGCAGGACGTGATGAAGAGCAATCGCAAGGGCAGCCTCTTCTCCACCATGCAGGAGTTCCTCGGCTGCAATCACATACGCAGCGAGCAGTACTACACGGAGAGCATTGGCAGCAAGTGCCCCTTCATGGGCATCACCTGTGACTCCTTCGATGTAAGTCCCGGCCAGCTGCATTTTCCAGTCAATCCGATCTGACTAATCCTTCTCCTCATCTTCTCGATTTCCCTTTAGAGCTTCAAGGATGTCAAGTGCGGCAGCTGCGATGAGCCTGGGCGTCTGTGCATGCGCATGGGCTTCCACAGCCAGGAGGACTACGAGGAGCAGCTGGCGCGTGGTCTTCTTAAGCCGCAGGATCCGCCGCCGGTTTTCTATCTGATGACGGGCGATCGGAAGCCCTTCTGCCGGCAGCACTACAAGATCACGGTGCGCGTCTCCAGTCACGACGAGAGCACTCTGCATGGCGGCGAGATCGGTACGCTCTCCATACAGCTGCACGAGGAGCACAACAAGAAGAAGACCACCGAGCGCATGAAATTCTCGCCCAAGGCCATGTACTTTGAGCCGGGCTTTGAGTATACGGCCTTGGTGCCGGGCAGGGATCTGCAGAAGCCGGGCCATGCCAGCGTCTACTGGGAGTACCAGACGAACATACTCAATCCATTGACCTGGCGCATCCTCTCCGCTCCGCGCATCTATCTCGAGTACATACTCATCGAGTCGCTCGAGTCGAGCGATACCTATCTGAAGCTCTGTCCGCTGCACGAGGGTGCCATACTCTCCGGCGCAGAGAATGTCCTGCACACGGCCTACTGCAAGGACTAGCCGTCCAAGGCGTGGCGGGGCGTGGCCAGGGGCGCATTCCAAGAGTTCTAGCAATAAGCCGAAAGCTTTTCTCTGCGCAGCCAAAAAGGCGGCAACACAGTCGAGTCATCCGGCCGCAGTGTTGCTGGGTTGGTGGCTTGGCTGAGAACAGTTGCGGCTGTTCCCCCTATTGCTTTTAGCCTGGGCACACACCGAAAAGCCTTTTGTATTTTATTATAGTATTCGTTTAATTCATAAGCTATTCAAATTGCAGCGGAAGAGGAAGAGCACAATGTTAATTTATGTATGTGCATGTGTATATGTAATTGTTATTTATGCTAATCCATTTTTTTTTTGCTTTTTTTTTTTTTTTGAATATACACTTAATTAGCGTATTTATGAACAGAATTTTGTTTGAAAATTAAACAAATTGAAACCTTAAGAAAAATGCACTCCCACAGAAACAAATGTCATCTCCTCCTAATCAATTTAAAAAACGTTAAACTCAGCAGCCCGAGCTCTTAAACCCTTTCATTCAGATTTTCATGAGGAGTCAATAAATAGAAACTCTTTAGTGTGCTTCGCATTTCGACACAGAGCACATCGAAAACATTTCTCGAAAAAAGATTTACCAACAAAATTGATAAAATTTTAAAAAAATTCTAGACAAAAGAATTACGTGTTTGTTATGGCCGCATAAATGTTGGGCTGCTTCTTTATCGTAAGTTTATCGTAAATCGATTCGTTTTATATTCTCACTAAAATGCTTGCTTCCAGTCTCCGCCGTAGCTTGGATAGGTCTAGGCTAGGCTAGGTTAGGTCGCTTGATAGGGGTCAACCATGAGGCAAAATGTCACATTATGGAGGTAAGTGGGCAGCACTCTTTCAGCTGGATAACTAATCCCAAGGACTCATCCCCTGTCTAGAGTGATTACCGTGTAATATATCCACACTGTTAAAAATTGCGATTCGATTAAGTGTATCAAAATTGTATGTCTCGTGTATGACGCAGCTAATTACACAGAAAATATGAAGAAAAAAATTGTGATTAAGTGTTTGCATTGACTGGAACCGTAAGAGCATGTTAAAAAATATAATTGCGCATATGTATAATGCCAAATTTTATGCCACATGTTAATTGTTCTTCTTTTAAGCCAATATTCGCAAGGATTTTTAAGCAAACATGTTCCAATCTTTTTCGCAAAATATTTACAGCATGAATTGCTCTTCCATAAACTCGTTGCTGCCAGTCAATCAGTCAATCAATCAGCCAGTCGATCAGCCAATCAGCCAGTCAATCGGCCAGTATCGGCCAGTCTATCAGTCATTCAGTCTATGTCAATCAGCCAGTCAATCGGCCAGTCGGTCAATCATCCTAGCAGTCAATTAGTAAGTGTATCAGTCGGTCAATCAATGACTTAGTCAGTCAGCATAAATATTAACATATTGATTACAAAAGAGCTGAGTCTGATATTAAGTGCATTAAGCAATAGTCAATAAGGTAATCAATCAGTCATTCAATCAGTTTATCAACCAATCTTGAATCAGTTCATCAGCCATGCAGTCTATTAGTCTGTCAATTAGCCAATTAGCCAGTCAATCATCCAAACAGTCAATCAGTCAATCTGTCAATAAGCTAATCAGTCTGTCAATCAGTTAGTCAGTCAGTCTGTCAGTCACTCAGTCAATCAGCTAATGAGTCAATCAGTAAGTCAATCAGTCTATATGTTATTCAATCCGTCAGGCAGTCAATCAGCCAATTGGTCAATCATATATATATATGTAAATATAAATATATATATTCTTGATCCGTGGCGAGAGTTGGGCGCGATTGATGAACATTTAAAAATGTCTTCGCCTGAAATTTCGTGTGAACTTTTTGATTCGGATCAGCTGTTGTTTCTAATGAATTAAACACACGCACACACACACACACACACGCGCACACATTTCATCTTGTGGATCCTTGTTTTTGTTGTTCATAATTTAAATGCTTATCTCGTCGACTGTATCTATCGCATGCGTGTGTATCTTTTACATATAATTGATACTATCTGCATTTGATTTGACTCGTTTCAGTTTCTGTTTCAGCCTCTTCCCTGCCCCTCCCTTCCCTGCTCTTCTTTTCTTTTCTCTTCTTTCGTCTCACCTTTCAATGAGAGGTGGTTGTTGTTGTTTCGGACATTCCACAGGTTGTTGGCCAAGGCCCAAAGTTCTGATCTCGACTTGTATCTTTTTTAGATACCCTTGTAGAGGGCATCATTATTCTCCCATGAACGCGCTCCTTAAGGTCTATATATATATCCATATATATATTCCTGATCTGTGGCCAAATCGAGTCAGTCCGTCTGTTAGCTTATTGGCAGCAAACGCTGAGTACTTGCCGGATCGAACTACTATATAATATATAGTTCTTTCCTTCTGCTTACATGTGAGCTAAATCCCAGCCACATCAGACGCATGTATCGTATAGCGATCGAGTTATTGGGTTCTCGTGTGAGCCGTATCAAATCGGTCTACTATAGCATATCTTTCCTATAGGAAGAATCCGTTGAAAGTGAAGCACAAGTAAAATCTTAGGCTAAGTATTCAGGGTATTTAGTTTGCGGCTTGCCGTGGACAGAGATTCTCCTGAGATTCTCTTGCGATTGCATCCACACTGCCAGCCCCCTCCAATTCCTCTTGCCCCTTACTCCTCTACAGCACTGGCCCCCTCCTCCCACCTCTGGCCATGCTTGTTGATGATCATGTTGACAATCTTTGGCAGCGGGCACTTCTCGGAATTTGGTTTGTTTTGAAAAACCTTTTCTTTGTGTGTTTTTTTTTTTCTTTTCTTTGGGATTTTTTCTTTGTTTTTCTGTGCATGTTTTTGTGGTTTGTGGACGTTTCCTCTAATACGCACGCATATTCATTAATAATGTTAATCGATTTCGAATTGTTGTGCCCCCTTCGAAAGATGTCACTTGTTGCCACACGCACACACACACCAGCACATTTAAGTTTTGCCACGCCCATTTGGCCCATTGCAATTAGCGTGCTGCTGCAACGCCTACTACTCCTCCTCCTCCTCCTCCTCGCTCTTCTCGCTCTTCCTCAATCCTTGCCCATTCGGGCTGTCATTTTAAATTGCCTGCAGCTGCGCTTTGGCTCGACCTCAGCTTTGCTCCCATCTTAATTAGTTGCTCACCTACCCATTCCCCCCCCCCCCCTCTCCACCCTTTTAACCCGTCACTCCCCACCCCCCTTCGCCCGGCGCCGGCTGAGCGACATCAAATGCAACTCAAATCAAAATGTCATAATTTCCAGGAGACGACACAAGCGACAATACGTCAACATGCCACACAACCGCACTCCCACTCTGCCCACCCTTCCCCTCCTTGCTTTTACCCTTTTACCATACCTCTTTAATAAGTCGTCCGCCCCCCGCCAACCCACCGCCCGCTCTCACGTTGGCGTCGCAAACAAATCACATAATTATGATTGAGCGCAGCCAACGCCAGCTACTACCCCTTCTCCTAGCAGATGCCCCTTTAACTCTTCCGCTCCGCTCCGCGCTGCCCTGTGCCGCCTCCGCTCATCTGTGGCGCATTTTGGGGCTTCCTTTATGGCGCATGGTGCATAAAAATAAATCTGTCCGGCTCGCAGCTGCCGTAATTGAATGCAAATGCCCATCATCCAAAAATACGTGGCATCTATTGGAGCGGCCCGCCCCTATCGCCCGCTCGCCCCCGCTCGGCTTAAAGGCGACAATCTGCTATAAATTATCGTGTGTAGGTGCCATCCCCCCGCCCCCTCCACACTACCACACAACCCCACCGATCTCCCCCCTGGCATCCATTCAGATGCCGCAGCGATGCTTCATTGTGTTTGCTGGCGATGCGTGGAAAACTAATTTTCCAATTCCCATTGCAGCTCCCTCTGTTCTCAGTAGCCAGCCCCCCCCCCCCCCCCCTCACACTCCCTCTACCCGCAGCAGCACTTTGCCTCCTTCCCATGATGTTGCCTTTTTCCTGTGTCGTTTATCTTGGGCACATTTTGATATTCATAATTTGTGGCGTGTGGCTCCGGCGCACTTCTTGTGGCATGTTGTTAAATTGCACCACGTGTTTTTGATAATGACGACATAATTATCCGACTGGCTGCCCCCGTCCCCGTCCCTGTCCCTGTCTCTGACACTCCATAGACACATTACGCAGCAGCCTGGAGCCGAGCTTCAAGTGTGCCACGAGACAGTTTCCTTTCGCTTGACATTTAAGAGCTCAGAAAAGAATATCCTGGAGGGTATAGATTGTTTTCCGCGAATTTTCCACGCTTGCAGATGGAATTGGGTACCAGACCTTACGGCTTGGGCTCCGCATTTATCAACAATCCTGACCAAGCACTCAATGAATCTATTCTAATATATGGTTAAGCAAACTGTTGCCCAACTTAGTAGCCCGAGCCTGTCATCCGGCTCTACATGGGAAATCTATAAAGAGCAAGTTTTCAGTGTGTTTCACATTTTCGTACAGAACACAACGCAAAAATGTTTGAAAAAGTGTAAAATATTAACAAATGTAATCAAATTTTAGAGTTTCGATACAAAAGGACTTAGTAACAGTTGTTATGTTTGCATAAAAATTATACTTTTTCTCGATCGTAAGTTATTGATCTTATTTTTTTTTTATATACCCTGTAAACTCTTGCTGCCAGTCTCCGCCGTGGCTAGGATAGGTCTAGGCTAGGTTAGGTCGCTTGATAAGGGTCAACCATGAGGCAAAAGACACATTATGGAGGTAAGTGGGCAGCACTCTGTTAACTGGACAACTAATCCCAAGGACTTCCTCTTTCTAGAGTGAATGCCATGTAATACATATGTTCACACTGTTAAAGATTGGGATTCAATTAAGTGTATAAAAATTAAATGTATCGTTACATATTTAATAAAATAAATGTTTATATAAACAATGCTGGACATCCGTCATAGAAGCTGTACTAACTATTCCATTCTACATTTATCGCACTTTAACATAGCTGTAGTGCGCTGTAGTGCATGCCATTCTGTTATCGAGCTGTTAGCAGCATAACATGCGCTGCTAAGAGCTCTGCCCCCTTCCCACTGAATGAGCTAAGCGCAGCTGAACAACAAAGCTTTTAGGAGCGCAAACCCTTTTCTGCAGAGGCGGAGGTGGGGCGTGTCAGGCACAGAGAGATGCAAACAAATGTGATGACAAAATGTGAGGGATTTCCGGGCAGAGGAAAAAAGGAAAACAAAAACAAAAAGCAAAAGGAGTAAATTATAATACAAAGAAACCGCTTGCGGTCATATAGAGCACTAATTTAAATATCATTAGTAAACAATTAAAACAAAAGGAAATCAACAACAGCAAAAAGGAGTCCAAAAGGACGACGTTAACAATGCGGCATTATCGCATGCCGCCTGTCAACGCGCGCCACGCCCACAGGCGTTGGCCAGCAGCAGCAGCAGCAGCAGCAGCAGCAGCTTACATAAATGTCACAGCCGGCGCAGAGTGCGAGAGAGCGAGAGAGCGAGAGAGGGAGAGAGGGAGAGAGGGAGGGACAGAATAAGTGCGAAGCGTGGACAGAAATCAAAGGGCGACATTTTCTGTTTTGGCTTTACGCAAAGTTGTGACAGCTCCAAAAGGATTGCGAACAACAGAAAGAAAAGGATTGTGTTTTTTTGTTTTTTTTTTTTTGTTTTTTTTTGCCTCTGTGTATGGCCAGGGGGGGCGTGGGGCGTGGGCTGTGGGCGGGCGCGTCGGCTATTGTGCTGTTGTTTTTGCTTGGCATTTACTGTTAATTGCATTCCATATATAATTTGTCAAAACACAAGACAAACCAGACACCCGCCCTATTTCTCTCTCTCACTTACTCTCCCCTCCCTGTGAGTTGAGCTTTTTTTTTTTTTTATTTCTAGTTTATAAACGTGCCTTATCCGCGCACGTGGGCGCACAGCCTGCGGCGATTCGCATGGTCCACATTGCCAGACTGCCGCGGACACGTGCCGCTGCACTCCCCGCAGTCCGCAACCCCTGCTCAACCAGCAGCAGCAGCAGCAGCAGCAGAAGCCGTCGGCGTCGACCGCAAGTCACCTGATGATGCTTTTCCCATGCCAAAGTCTGCTGCTGCTGCTGCTGCCACGCCCCCGCCCATTGCAGAGCTCGCTTGCATGCTTAAGCACAGGGGCGTTGCTATTTGTGTTTGTCTGTGTGTGTGAGAGTGTGGGGGGGTGGGGGGGCTGTTATGTTATTATGGCATGTTGGTTAGCTAAGGTTAAGGCAGTGACGGGAGCGGGGGCGGGGGCGGGCTATGCATACAATATGCTTGTAATATGATCCTGCGTGCTTGAGCATAATTTGTTATTTTAGCTATCGCATTATGCTACCTCTGCAGGCCCCCTTCCCAACCCATTCCGCTGCCCCTCCCACTTCTGATTATACTACGCACTTCGTAAAATATATTTATACGTAAATGGATTTCTCTCTTGTCTCTTAACATTACAGCGAAACGGAACATCTTTTGTCAGCCACAGCAGAACAAAAAAAACAAACAAAAAAAAAACAATGAGAAATCAAAAAAAAAAATTAAGTAAAACCTTTCTAGTCGGGTGTGGTTGACTAGGAGATACCCTAAATTCAACTGTAGCACGACTGTGCTTCTTTTCTTAAATATTTTCGGGTATTGCACGATCTTTACGTATCTATAGCTAGTCATATATACAGCAAATCGATAACGATTTTTATCGAAACTATGATAATTGGGAAAGTTATCGATGATTTGAATATAGGAGAGGTTATGTTTAAATTTCCTTACTTTTACCTCATATAGTTCCCGACCAAATGACAGATGGACTTACCTGTTGCTGCTGCTGTTTCCCCCGTCCCCTTACTTTGCGACCAACTTTCTGCTACTTTTGCGTGTTACATACATTTGCACAAAACGAATATAGCCGTTTTCTGTGCGTACAGGGTATGAAAACAGCAACGAAAAATATCGATTACATTCGCTGAAAACTTTTGTCTGTATTCCGCCACAACAAGCAGGCGAAGAAGAAGAAGATGATGAAGAAGAAGCAGAAGCAGGCAAAGAGAAGAAGAAGAGTGCATTGGAGCCCCGAATAACATAACCATAAATAAGGGTAATAAAATTGATGCTCAGTTGTCGCTGCAGCTGTCCTGACTAAGAGCAACAAATAAATTTGTTTGCTTTTGTTTTTGTTTTTGTTTTTGGCGATCCGGCAATACTCATAACATTAACTCAGCGTCCAATACCAAAGCAAACCTCATCCAATCCCAGTCGCATCGCATCGGATCGAACAACTACCAACTTTTAATGAGCTGAACTGCGATCACGAAGAGATCCGAGAATGGAAGTGCACTTAATGCCCATCGGGGTTACAGGCCTTGGAAATTTTGTCACAACATGATGCCACAATTCGGTTTATTGAAGGGTTTTTGAAGGTAATATCTGGCATGACATGAGGAAAGCAGAGGTAGGCCCTTCAAGTAAGAGAAAATACTATATTTCTTGTTAAATAACACATAAAACAGCAATAGATGCTGTAAAATGTACGCTGAATCAGCATGTGCCGCAGCATTTGCAGATGTATTGGTGAATCTGCGCATTTCTCACATATGCAAAGCCCTGAGCTGCATACGTGTGAGCCGTATGTGTGCAAGCTTTTGTGCATGTATATGTGAGAATGTTATTGATACGATTTTCGAGCCCACAAAAGAAATGCCATCAAATATATGGTATATATAACTGCCTTGGGCTATTTTAGAATTTATTGCATTCAACTGTTTCTTAAGCAATCTACAAATACAACAATTAATTAAAAAAAAAAAAATAGATGAAAGAATATGGCTTACATTAAATATTATAATTTAAAGGGGAAGACAAATATTAATGCATGTTCGATGCGAATATTTCTCTGTTCTTTTTACTTGTAACTTTTAACTTTCTTATTTTTTCAGTCAGACATGGGGATAAACGAATATCTTGATATCTAAATCCATTGTATATATATTTATATACATATATGTATGTATGTACATATGTGTAATTTAAGTAGGTTCTTATCGTATACAGCTGCGTATGTATGGGTGTACATACATATATTACTTACAGCGAGTACTTAAATGAGTAAGTACTCAATTTCGATAATGAGAGCGCATTCGCTTACACTTGAGCACACTTGCAAAGCAAAGCCGACAAATGCTCTTTTTTTCTCTATTCCTTTTGTTGTTGTTGTTGTTGTTGTTGTGACTGTTTGTGTATCGCTTTGTTTTGTTTTGTTGTTTCGCTGTTGCTGCTGTTGCTGTTGCTGGCATTGTGTTTGGCCATAAGGCGAAACATGCTTAAAGCGGCGAGTTATTAAAAACAATATTCGCCGGATAAGCAGCCAGGCGTGCAATGGGCATAAAGAAGCATCAGCAGCAGCAGCAGCAGCAACGGTAACAGGCGGCAAAAGAGTCGAATTTGGTTTGAGGAGTGGGCAATGTGCGGCTTATCTCTCATCTTTGCATTAACACTTCGGCTTTTCGCCGCTTGCTATTGTTGTTGCTATGCGCACACACACACAGGCACGCACGCAAACACACACACACACACACACACACACACAGACAGACATGGCACAAAATGGCAGCCACTGAGGGCATTTCGCTTATCAGATCAACGCAATCGCCGCGCTGTGACAATGAAAATTTAGCACCTTGAATCATACAAACACACACACACACACACACACACACACACATACCGTCTCTCTCTCTCTCTCTCGCTCTCGCTCTCTGTTGCAGCGCTTACAATTTCTCAAAGGCATTGGCATTGGTGAGCATCTCACGAGTCAAACGCCAGACCTGCTTGGCAGCCTGCTCGAGGGCGCTGGGGGATTTGCCCTTGAACATATCGAGGCTGGGCAGAAAATAGTGGGGACAGCGTCGATATTGGAGGCAGGAGATTAGCTGCAGGAATATACCATTCAAACGGTCCGCAATGCAGCTCTCGTCCCACTCAAAGTCACGCGGATGCTTCTCGCACTCGTAGAGCAGCAGATTCTTCAGGTGATACGCGCTGATCGGATTGCCGGGCAGCTCCAGGTGACGGTCACGCAGTGTCTTCAATATGCTCAGGCAGCGACGACGGCAGCCACCTTTGAAGATTCGATCAGATTTTTCAATTGCCATAGATTGCAGGATCTTCCCCTCTCTCTCTCTCTCTCTCTCACACCAACTCTCTTACCTTGCAGCAGGCGATTCTCGGCCTCGAAAAAACTTAGGACCCAAGCATCGCCCTCCATGCTAGCCGCATTGTTGTTCTTGTTCTGCATAATGATGCTCTCCTTGGAGAGCAGATCGAAGCCCTCGGTCTTGACCTCGGCCACGATATTGGGATGCGGCCAGGGTATATGCGGCATGGGCCAATGCGCCGCCGATCGCGGCCAGATGCCGGAGCATTTGAAGGCCGGCGTTATCTGTACCACAAAGCGCTCCCTGATCCGCAGCTTCACCTCGGTGGTGTCTCCAATCATCTTGACCATATCCCGATAGATGCTCTTGTCGCACGCCTGCGCCACCAACGTCTGGAAGCGGGCGCGAATCTTGCGCGACGACAGATAGCCCGAGGCGGTGATGAACTCCACCCAGAGGGACATGGAACGCTTGCGTCCGTCGCTCAGCTTGAGCACCGCACAGCCGGGCAGGGTGCCGTCGTCCACAAAGTTGAAGACGCCCATCTGGTTCAGGTAGAGCACGATCTCGAACTCATTCGGCGAGATCACCTCCACGCCCTCGAATCTAAAAACCGAATAAATACATATTAGTGCTTCCTTGATCTTCGATCCGGACTCCAACTGGCTGCCATTCGGATCTGCGTAATTCCGGCGTCCGACGGCTGTCATCGCTGCCAACAACAACAACAACAACAACAACAACAACAACACGTGCGATCCTCAATCGCATTAAAAACATGCAATGTCATCCCGTCAAGTCATGCTATTCGACTCCAGCTCAATCCCGCTATCGATATATGTATACTTATTATGAGCTCTCAGCTCCTGCATATCATAATTAATCCAAGTGTCGTTAATCTCGGCGTGATATCTTCCAACGGAATATCTAATTTCGGGTGACTCTTTCTAAGTATTAAATATTCCAATCGATAAATTAATCTACAAAACTGTTCCGACTGATTGACTGACTGATGGAATAACTGACTGAATGACTGATTGACTGACAAATGAAACACAGTCCTAGTCTCAAGGTCTAGAAAGCAATAAGTTGTACTTTATATGACGGCAAAGGGATTTTCAAAAGTTCCATGCAAAAGCGTGGAAAATTGGTGGAAAATTGCATAAAACATTTTAATATATCCTTCGATTAGCATGCAGCTCCTCTTTAAAGATCTTTGTGAAAATTCATTTGAGACGTATTTCACATCCTTTCCGGTTACGAATGAAAGGGCAAAGGCTTTAAGTTCATTTAAAATTATGGAATAAATACGTGGCGGGAAATGGATGGAAAAGTATTGTTTCCAATTTGAAATAGCCTAAGGAGAAAGTTTATTTTTTTTTTTGCAATCGGATGCTGATATTATTATTGGTTGAGAATAATACTGGATGGGCTGCCCGACGGATGGTAGTATATTCATATTTAAGAAACGGCACTATATTCTAGACTAAGGATTATGAATATGTATTATCCTATCTATCTATGCTTTAAGACCTGATCTGGAAGTGCGCATGCAAGACTTTGCTTTAGTATATAGCTATAGAAGATCGATATGATTTTCAATAGATCACATTCTTGTGGCAAATAGTCTATGTCGCTGGGGGTAAAGAGATGCAAATCTGTTATCTGCTCTGTGTTTACTTTTAATGCCCGGCTCAATAGCTGAAAGTTGTCCACTCACCTGCCATTGCACTCGACCAGGCTGGATATGAAGCGCGGCTCCTGCAGCTCCACCTCCTTGAGTATGTCCTGGACAATTTTGCAGATCTCTCGAATGGCCGTTGCCGTTTTGAAGATGCGCGCCTGGACGCGTTCGGCGCTGAAACGATTCAGCTGGTAAATCATGCGCGTCTGGGCGGCCATCATATCCGGCGGCACCAGCATCTTGCCGAGATATCGCTGAGCCGAGTCAAGTCGAGGCCCAAAGCTGGCGGCTAACAACAAACGGAGGCGCTGTCGGAGTCGGAGTCGAGAACGTTGACAGTGGGCCGTGGATGATGCCAATTATGCGAGCTACCAGAAATTGGCAAACGGAATCGGAAACGGGCGTCCAAGTGGGCTCGGGCTCGGGTGCGGGTGCGGGAGCGGGTGCGGGAACGGGAACGAGATCGGGATCGGTATCGGGCGACACACAAGACAAAGGAACAATTCAATTGTGAGTTACGTTGACAGCCCAAGTGGCAACAATGGGCCGCAAGTGGAGCACAGCGAAAACTCTTGTATTCTTTGTATTTATATAGAGCTTTTTTTTTTTGTTGATTGTTTTGTTTTTTTTTTTTTTTTTTTTTTGGGTTGCGGCCGCGTATCTGTTGGATAGTCGCTGCAGCGACTGGATCTGTATCTGTAGCTGTATCTGCAGCTGTATCTGTATCTGTATCTGTATCTGCACCTATATAGCTGTTGCTGCTGCGAATATCGGCGCGGATTAGCCGCGATTGCGTTAATGCGGATGCGTTATGGCGATGCCGGAGTCGTGTTGTCTTCTTGTCGTGCCTGTCGAATGCCTGGCAACGATGCAAAACAAACACTCGATACCGATTCAAATGAAAAGATACGCAACGCTCTCGACATCTACCGAGTTCCAGTCGCAGTCCGAGTCGGAGTCGGAGTCGTAGTCGTAGTCGTTGCTGGCGTTGTAAATCTCGCGGATATTTACAGCTTTGGCAGATAAAGCGCTCGGCCCCAACACACAGCCTCGGGCGCTAAAAACTGCAACTCGTTGTTGCGCTCGCTCTGCCCCTGTGTATGTGTGTGTGTGTGTGTGTGTGTGTGTGCGTGTGTGTGTGCATCCGCCATCTCATGAATGGACTATGAGTACACCCACAAAAGCAGCTGCAGCAGCGAGCACAGATACAGCCACAGATACAGATACAGATACAGATACAGATACAGATATAGATACAGATACAATTGCAGTTGCAAATACAGATGCAACTGTCAACGTGTCACGTGACACTGGCCGCGTGATTGTCGCCTGGTCTCGTGCCAAGCCACAACAACAGCAGCAAAAACGAAAAATCAATAAGATACTGTATCTGTATCTGTAAGATACATAACTGCACAGAGCACAGCAACTGCAAAACGAACTGCGGCGCTGACTAATCACGCCTCGTGAATGTATCTGCCACGCCAGTATCTGTGTATCTGTAGTGTCCGTGTGTGTGTGTGTGTGTGCATGTATGTGTGCTGTATCTATGTGCGCGCGCTGCGGCATTGGCTGTGGCTGTGGCACAAGCTCCGCCCACCAGAGCTGAGATACACACGAGCGAGCGAGCGCAAGGGGCCCGCATGCCGTCGGCCTGTCGCCCTGTCGCCCCGTCGGGCAGTCGCTGTCACGCTGCGGCGCGCTCTTTGATCTCTCTCTCTCGCTCTCTCTCGCTCTCTCTAGCTCTGTGTGTGTGTGTGTGTAAATTTAATTTGTTAAATACATTTTGTGCCAGACGCCGTCGTACACGAATTGTGTGCAATAATTTATCTGAAATGTGCACTCATTTAGCAACGAGCAGCGAGCAACCCTCGTCCAACGACAACGGCGATATCTTTATATCTCACGGATACACGAACACACGAAAAGTTTTACATTTCACAGATACATTCCCAATCACACCACAGATACACAGCTACACACATTCATAAATATGTCGCCTGGATTAATGTGCCAGTTGGCAATTTTTGACAGCGTTGTTCCAGCCAAACGAACGCTGTCTGCCAAGCAACACCCCCCCCCCCCCCCTCCCCCTTCACTACTCTATATGCACCCTCCCCACCTGAAATACCCCCTTCCCAAGTTAGGTACATAAAAAACATAAAATATCCTATGCCATACACAAAAATATCTTTAACTAAACCGATTCATAGCCAACCGCTGCGTCACCTTCGAATCTCTTGCAGACCGCTTGCAAGACATGTCTTCCGCATTGTCATCGTGGACTAGATCAAAGCATTCGTCAAAATTTGTTTTGTTGCTTTCAATTAGATGGAAATCTTTTGCATTTGGCACTAATTCAAATTGATGGCAAACATAAACGGAAAACAAACAGCGCATAAAACATGAAAAACATTCAAAAACAAATAGAAAATTATTTAACTAAATGCCGAAATTCAAATGCCCTTACAGACATGCAGCCGATCTACTTTAAACCAAAATGCTTGGTGATTTTCTGCGAGAGATTTTCTTGAAGAAGTCAAATTCTTTGTATTCCAACTATCAGATAAAGTAGTCTGATCGGGCGAGAAAAATTCTCTTGCCAAAAATTCGAAATATCTTCACATAATTTGAAATCTCAGCTTATTGTATACACTTTATACATGTATACATACATTGAGTACCTGCAAGTTTTTAAGTTGATCAAGAAATAAACCCAGTAGTTATTTAAGAAATAAGAAGGTGTGGAAAAGGACTTAGGGTATCTTCCAGTCGATCACGTGTGACTTGTTATATTTGAATTGTTCATAACTCGCTTCGCAATGTTCCGATTTTGATTCGCTTGAACAATTCGAGCACGCATCATTTTGAATTTATGTTACTTTCTTATCAATCACACGATTACCAACAGATATATACATATATATTTTTTCATACATCAATTATAAGTGAGCCACAACTATTTGGAATAGAGCAAGAGCTAATATTTTAAACTTATCAGAGGTCAATTTGTCGATGCTTTGTTCGATTCCGGAAGCGCTTTTATTGATCAGCATATCATTGTCTATGTCAACGATCTATTACCCACCCCCCCTCCATCCCTTCCTAAACCACACCCCCCGCCCACTTATTGTGTAATATATATGTTTGTCTTGTGATATACGAGCGTCTATTGGATTTCAATTTGAACGCGGAGTGGATCAGTGAAGGATCGCGGCCAGGTGGGAGCGGTGTTAACAGCAGCGTTTGGTTGATTTTTAGCGCGGGATTTCCACACACACAGACAGAGAGTGAGAGAGACCGAGAGAGAGAGAGAGAGAGAGAGAGAGATAAGAGTGGGCATATCTGCATAAATTTAAAACAAAGGGCGACACAGACGGGCGGACAGTGAAACGTCGCGACAGACGGACACAAAGAGCAGCAAATGGTAAAAAGTGGAAACGAGCATGTACTATAAATTTGTGCCCCTGTGTGTGTGTGTGTGTGTATGTGTGTGTTTTTCCCGTATTTATATATCTCTTAGATCTTGAAGAAATTTGAATATAATTTATGTGCAATCGTCGCGTTTTTCGGTTGGTTTATTTGCTTGCCCTGCCCCGTCCGGCTGTTGCCCCTGCTCCAGCCCGGGCCAATGCTGCCCCTTGTCACAGTCCCTGTCGCATTGGCTCGGGCTCTGGCTCTGGCTCTGGCTCTGAGCCCGGATCCCCGGTTCGCTTTGGTCCCAAATGAAGAACGATCCATCCATCTAAACGTTTGTCACTTGCTGCGTTGTCGCCGCAACGTTTGTCTTTTCGCTGGATCCGCCAGTTCTGCTCCTTCGTCTCTTTTGTCTTTGCTGTTGTTGCTGCTGCTGCTTCTTCTTCTTGCCAGTTGTTGTTGTTGTTGTTGTTGTTGGTTAAAAAGCGAACGTCGTCGCCCGTTGACCATCAACGCAGTCGTTTATCTTGTAGATACATCGCCCTGTCCAGCTGAGCGACCAGCCAGAGCTGCCCCCAGTTTCTATGGAAAAGAACAATAACTAAATTTCACATGCAACCAGCCAAAGTTATGCCCGTGTCTATGGATCCCAACATACTCACACATCACATATCAACCATATCAACTATCTTTGAGCAATTCGCAAATCTAGCTAACGTTTTGGCTGCCATTACAATTAAGAATCCACTTAAATCGTATGGCCAATTTATCTCTATAAGCACCATAAGTTAAATTTAAAAAGTCACTTTATAATTCATAGATTTAAGTAGTCGGGCATACCATAAACCTAATGTGAATACTTTAATTAGACAACAGGGAAGCGTGCTCTACACAAATACACACAGAAGCATGCATGCTTCTTCTTTCCCCTTAGCCGCACGTTATACGAATATGGAAAATGTGTTGTGTACAAACTACAGATATTTGGGCAGCAATATATAAGTATCTGTGATTGAAAAATATTTAAATGATTTTAAATGAAATAGAACCACAACAAATTATTATAATTACATTTTGCAGCTCTCCTTTGACATTACATTAGAATAATGTTATTAGCCGAATGTTATGGAGCGCTGTTACTAACAGGTTAATAGTTACTATAATTAATTGTTAGCACTCTTGGTAATTAGCAGCAGCCTGTTTATGGGGAAAAATGAATTAAGTTTTTAACATTGTTGCAAACAGCTCGCTGTTATGTAACATAACGAGCCGCTGTTAGCATAACATTTAACATAAGGAGCGCCATTTGCAAATCTGTTGTATGCATTTATCATTTTGACTTTCTATGCGTCATGTCCAGCTTGGGGGCACATGTGCTGAATTCATAAGGATGGATTAACCCTCAGCAAAGCTTAGCTCATTTTTGCCCCGCACATCCCTCTGTCAACCCCTTTGGACTAGCCACAGCTGTGTTGGCCATGCAAGAAGCATTCGCTAAGCGGATTTGCATTAACGCTCGGAGCCATTCAACTCGTTAATATGTTGCATGTGGCACACACACGCAGGGTAAATGGCGTGGACATCAATGAAATAATAACAACCGTAAGCCTTTGCGCTTTTTGCTTAAGTACAGGTGACATTTGACTACTTTATTGAATTATGACAGCGAACAAATCAGCGACACGTATCCAACCAGATCCTCCAGCCCCCAGAGCGGTCAATCAGTTATCTTCTTCTTCGGCTTGTTTTTTTTTTTTTTTTTTGAAATTTATTTTTTTTTGTCTGGGTGCAGCAGGCTCTGGCCCGAACGCTGACTGGGGCCCTGTGCAGAGCCTCATTACGCATGCGCCGCGTTGCGTCGAGTCCGGAATGATGATCAGAGGCGATCGACTGATCAAAACTCTGTGACTGGATCCGCAGAGACTCTGGACATTGCCTAGTTGTGTACATGTGTTTCGCGTTCCACTGTTTGGAATACTAATTACGCTCGGCAATGAGTGCAGCACATATGTATTGATAGCCCTCCTCGAACTCTGATCATTTTCCGATCTCTTAACTTACGATCTTGACGACAAGTGCACGCTAATCACGCAATGCTCGCAAGAGCCCAGAGACGGAGGCGGAGGCAAAGGCGGAGGGGGGCCAAGCCTTAAAAGAAATAATATCATAATTTATTGTTACAGTCTCTCTCGCTCTCCCACGCTCGCTCTCTCTCTCTCTCTCTCGCACTTTCTCTGGGGATCGCTCTCGTCGATTCTCATTTCAGACACGTACTCGAAAATCGATCTCAATTTCGTAGTTCAGATATCACGCGCACAGACCTCGACATTGTTGCTGTTGTTGTTGTTGTTGTCCCGGGCAGGCCACGTTCCACATAGTAGCCAGACCCTATTCCCAGGCCCAAGACAGGCCTTCTCCCCTCTCCTGCATATATCCATAAACATATATATGTGTATATAGATATATGGCCAATATATGCGACTGGCCAAGGCGGCGGCCCTTTTCAAGCTGCGATGATCACGTTGACATTTCGCTTGGCGATTGCGCTGGCAGCGGCAGTGGCAGCGGGGGCGGGGGCGAGGTATAGGGACGGTGTGGGGCGGCAAGGGTGATGCATAGGGCGATGGGGGGTGGGGGGGGGAAGGGAAAGGCTGTTGACATGTTTGCTGGCTGTGATTGATTTAGGGCTCGTTGGCTGCTTTTTGTTTTCCGCTGAAGCGCAGCCGTTTGAACCCATTGTTTTTAACCA